TTTACAGAAGGTAGGGATCTAAACTCCCTGGATTCTGTTAGAAATGAGTTTTTAAGAACATGTCAACATTAAGACAGGGGCCTCAGGGTGGCCCATCACTTACTGGTGGCCTCACAGGACCCCTTTTATCTCTACCCTGCTGAAGTGTCCTTGACCCGATTCTGAATCTTCATCAGGTTTAGGAGCTGTGCTTTACAGCTCATCCTGTTCTTTTAGTTGAAACTGTACAGGGAGGGCGAGTAGAAGAGGTTATTCCATCGTAGTAAGAGGTGTGCATGAGAGAAGAAAGTCTGTTACAATAAAAAACATGTAACTTTTACATTTTAGCATTGTTTCATTGTTGAAGCCATGCAAAAAAAACATTTTTAACATGGAATGCAGTACGATATTTTAACAGCACTTTACTAACACTACTAATAAAACATGTTTGACGGAAAATGTGATTTTTGACTTTTGTAATAATCCACAAAAAAAACATAGATTAATTGCTGAAATTGTGTGTCATTTCAGTTGCATGACTTGATAAATCTGTGATATTGACAAGTAGATGAGCTGAATATACATACTTTACGGTAAATGAAAATTCTTTCGCTCTGAAAATTCTTTGGAGGTGTTTGGGTGTTGATGATGAGGTTGCATTACAAAGATAAATAGGTCTGTCAGCACTTGCATAACAGGGGAAAACCCTGCTCTGTGTGTGCGTAAGTGTGGGTTTGCGTGTGTGCATGCTGGCCACACAGGACTCTAGTGTCTTGTAGTGTGAATCATCCCATCTAAGGAGAAACGTCCTGGCTGGCCTCTGTTCCACTAGCTTCTGCAGCTCAGTGCAGTCTCTCATATAAGCATTGCTTTCATTGGTCTTTCTGAAAAAATGAAGTTTTTTTTTTTTTGAGTTTACTTTCCAAATCTCTGTTCACTACAGCAGTTGCTGTAAGAAATTGAAACCTTTGTGATTTTAACAAAGTTAAACAACATTTATTTTGTGAGCACAGAAAAACTACAGCTTGAAAAAAAAACTACAAACTTACAACCTGTGACGTTTAGCCCATAAATGTCCGTTAAAGACCACTAAAAACATAAATATTGCATAAACAACAATATTACATTGTTTTAAAAAAAAACTTCCTCTCTAATCTTAACATATAAAGCAAGCCGCACAACATGCTGTTGAGAAGGCTTTATTTTTAGTTATTAGCGTATTTACAAATGCTAATGGAATTTTGAATGAGGTTTTCTTATTTCTGAAACAGAATCCGGAGCTTGGAGTTTCACTTTGGCTCTATGTGCACCCTGGACAGGTAGCCAGTAATGTCTGTCTCTATGTGTCAGCCCTATGATTGACTGGCAGCTTGTGCGAGTGTATCGCCTCTCCCCCCAACCCTCATGGATAAGTGGGCATAGCTAATGGATGGCTGGATTATGATTATTTTCCCACCACAATCAGGCTGTGGCCTCTTTTGTCAAGAGACTCATTGCTTAAGTGTTTTGGCTTTTTGTTTGAGTTGATTCATTCAATTGGCAAAAGACAAAAAGAAAGAAAGAAAGAACCCTTAACCCTCTATGGTACGCATTATTTTGTCATTAGTCACAAGTAAATATAATTTAAAGAAATTTAAAAAAAAAATTATTTTGGAAAAATCAAGACAGAGTTACATTCCATCATTTGTGTTAGATTTAAATATGTGTCTTCAGTTTTCTGGTGTCTTTTCTGATATGTGTTGCCTTGTGACCATCTTTGGCTCAATACTTATGGAAGTTGACAAACCATAGAATGTCAACAAAATCCAACACGTAATCAATAAGTGAAAACAAGTTATAAAATAGTTTCCCTCTCATACTCATACCTGTCACTGCACTTTTATCCTCACTCCTCTTCACTCTTATCCTCATCTACGTTCTCAGACTCACCCTCACTGTCACTTTTCTTGCAGGATTTTTAGCAGCTCATTCTCTTCCTCAAATCCTTATTCATCCTCGCTACTATCAACTGGGAGTGCCTTTTTCTTTGATGAACCATGAAAAAATATTGATATTCATCCTCTAAATGGAAGAACAATGTGTTTAAAACATAATGGGCGCCAGAGAATCATGTAACAAATTTTAACACTGCTAATGGTTTCATTAAGGCCCTGCAACTCTTTTAAAGTAATGCATTATATTTTGGGATGTATTGTGGGAGCGTACTAGGCCTAAAATGGGTATGTTGCCCAGAGGCAACACCGTACAATAGAGGGTTAATAGTGGAGCAGTTGCAGAACACTTCACAGCACAGTATCAACATCATCATGCATCATATGTGCCATTTTTGTAGTTTTTAGTTTAATGCCCCTCTCTCTCTGAGTTCATCCACTCGTTGCCTTTTTGCTGACTTTGTTTCCATGGTAGCTGCCACCACTCTCTCCTCAGGTTTTTCACTCCCTCCCTCTCTATCCTTCTTTAATTTCTCTCAGCTGATCTATGAGTCTATTGGCAAGGTGACTGATAGTCAATTTGGCCTTGCTTTGAAAGGAGTTTCTTTGGCTGATTTGATGATATGATAAATTTATCATTGTGAGGTTTAGGTAAACACAGTCCTTGTCAGTAAGTGGTGATTTCAATGATAGTCCAGCCTTTTTTTCTCAGCCATGTATGATGAACGAAGGCTGTATCTTAAAATCAAATTCATCGTTAATGTATGATTGTCATTACATGGCTGTGGTTGCAGTATTCCATTTAGTTAAAAAAGATAGTGACTCTTAGTATAAAATTTGTGTTATGCTGTGAAACATACAGTATGCTGACAATGTCTATGTCTAGCAGTGTGTGTGTGTGTGTGTGTGTGTGTGTGTGTGTGTGTGTGTGTGTGTGTGTGTGTGTGGGCAGGTATTACTCATGTTGTGGGGACATGAATCTGTTTACACATTCACATTGTGGGGACTCACCTTCCTTATGGGGACAAAATGCAAGACCCCATAAAGTACATCATTAAACATTAGGGTGAAGCCTTGGTTTAGGGCTAGGCAAGTAGTGGTTAGAGGTAACTTTAGGGTTAGTCGCCAGGGAATGAATGTAGGTCAACGTAATATAACCAAAAGTGATGTCAACACAAATGTGTGTGTGTGTGTGTGTGTGTGTGTGTGTGTGTGTATGTATGTATGTATGTGTCTGTGTATGTATGGGTGTGTGTGTGTGTGTGTTTGTTCACAAGATAGAGTCTGGATTAGAGAGGTGTTGACTAGCTGAGTCATATGTCACTGGACATTTACCCCTTTGCTCCGAAACAAGCCCAGCTCCGAAGACAGCTGGGCTTGTTTTTAACATTCACACACACACACACACACACACACACAGACACACACACAAGTTCATATTCAGATTCATCGTGTGCACCGAGGCATCAGTGATGTATGAGAAACTCATTACTAAGTCAACACCTCAGCGTCAAGTGCATCTACACACACGCACGCACAGAATTCTCTGCTCTGTTGTCAGGCTCTGATACATCAGCAGGAATCACTGTTACACGGCAACAAAATTTTATTTTAATTGAGCTATAAAAATTTTAATCAGCCAGTTCAAACAGTAACATGAAGGTCATCACAGCTTGAACTGTATCATCAGTAAGTAAGCCAAAGGCAATAACTTAAAGCTGTGACACACGCTTGGAGCCATTCTATATATAACCATTCTGGTGTCTACTAATAATATAATTGCCCTCTCACTTTCAAGGTTGAAGTGAGGTTGGATATTTATTGAGCAACATTAGATAATTTTTTATTTTACATGTCAGTGTTGTGGGTGATATCTGTGGGTGATAGCTGTGGGTGCCTCTATCCTTAAGAAATACTGGAACGCCATCGTGTGGCTATTTTGTTCAACTGCAGCGTAAAAAGCTGAGAGTGGCCCTTTGTCCCAATTGCATAGAAAATAACTGTGTATATAGCATGTAAACTCATACACAACAGACATTCAGAGACTACTCCTACTCGGAAAAAGTGAAGTGAGTGTTGTATTTGTTAAGTTTTATATTTTCAAAAACAGCAGCAATATTACAAAGTAACTGTTAAATTGACATCTTTTAGCTCAAGCTGTGTTGCATTCTGTTTAAAAAAGAGAACAAAAATGGGACAGTGCGGACTGTAAACTGCCAAATTACAATCAACATTAGTAGGCGACCTATAGGCACAATTGCCACGTGGATTGTGATCAGTCATCCTGTGTTGGCATAATGAGTTGCTGTGCTTTTCTTGATTGCTATTTGTTCTGTGGTTATTGACACACTGTGTCAGCTACATTGTGTTGATTTGTTACTGTAGTCTGGCTAAAGATACTTTGGTTGTTTGGAGACGGATGATTTGAGTCGAGGGCAGGTTGTAAGATTTCCGTTTGGCTTTGGCTGCTGTCCGTGGAGCTGATCAAAGACTGCAGATTTGCAGTTGCAGGGTGTGTCTGTACCTATGGTCTGTACGCCCGTGTGTACACGAATGTGCCTTTTGGGGCATCGGGCACAAGAAAAATATTTGTACGCCAGTCACAATTATATTACGCTGCTGCCAGGTACACTGTAGTCTTAATATATAGAATGGAATATGGAATTGGGACAATGTAGAAATATTATTAATATGAAAGTAAGTAGTAAGTAAGTAAGTTATATAGCACCTTTTCAGGAGCAGATGTCACAAAGTGCTTCACAATAAAAGACAAAGGAGCAAATAAAGATAAAACGCAGGCATCAAGCTAAAAAGATACAAAGAATAAGATAATAATTAAATAAGACACTAAAATGGCATGTAACAGCAATTGTTTTCACATCCTCATCATTTCTCCTTCTTAGAAGAAGTAGAAGTTACCTTTACTTTACCAACTATAGATAGGATAAATATATCTAGCGTGTGTGAAAAATGCTGAGTAGGCTAGATTTGTTCCAAGTAATGAGCTCTGCTCAGTCTGACTCGTGTGATGAAACCCAATATACGATATAATGTAAAACTTGATTCTTCTTTCTTGTCTTTTTCCCTCAGCAGGTGTTGCTGTGAAGGACTCTGTCTCCGTGTCTCCTCTCAAACCTTCAGCCGCACCCACAGACTTAGACCAACAGAGTACTGAAGGAGGAAACTCTGCTTTAGGAAGCGACCTGCAGCCTCCCCGTGTTTCCATGGAAACTTCAAATCTCCAACCTCAGACGCCCAAAGTTGAAGATGAAGTGGAGGAAGACGACGATGGCAGTGGCCCTCTCACCATTTCTGAGCTTGTTTACAGGTCTACTGTCAGCTCTTTGTTTTGTTTCTCCAGCTCACAACTTTACTGTTTTGGTTCACTCATCACTCTCATACTGTTCTTTTGTTTTCAGTGAAAAACCCACTGTAGCCTGCACTATGGCCTACTACTCACACAAAGACAAAATTTAGCAACTAGCTAGTGAATATAGTGAAACATTTATCAGCTTAAGAGACAGATATGTCCCACAGGAGTTGTTGGAGACCAAAACCAGGGCTAAAATGAGAGTGAATATGGGATTTACATACATCAGGTTGCCAGAAACACAACTCTAAATAAATGCTAATGCTGCTCCATAACAGCTGGATGTGGAATAGGCCGGAACAGAAGACTGTTGCTGTACTGTTGTGTGAACAAAAGACATGTAAATTCATTGTTTTGAAAACGCTTGCTTCTTTTAGGTCCTTGTTCATCCCCATAGTATTTAATAATATGTGTTGTCTCCAGCCCTTGTGCTAGCATGCTACCCACCCCGGTGGATGACAGTCAGGGAGGCGTCGACTTGCTCTTCTCCTCTCCGGTCCAGAGCCCCGCCAGGCTGCTTAGGGAGCTCCATGCCGACCCTGACATCCAGGCCCAGCTAGAGGCTGAGAGGGAGCGAGACCGTGCATATGAACGCACCCGACTGGCTGCGAGAAGTCGAATGGGCGGAGTCCTGACCAGTAGCCTGCGCCTGCTGTCGTCCAATGAGAGAGTCAACGCATGTGTGCTGAGCGTGGCCCGCTTTGTTGCCGTTGTAATGGGCGTCCTGCTCGTCACTGTGCCCACACTGCTGCTACTGCTGGAGTCAGACATCGACGTTTCGTTCCTCCACGAGATCCGCCAGACGCCGGAGTTTGAGCAGTTTCACTACGAGTATTACTGCCCACTTCGGCGCTGGATCCTGTGTAGGATCAGCATGGCCATGGAGAACCTCTGGTCAGACTGAAGAGGAAAAGAAGGAGAAGGAAAAGGAGAGAGTGAGGAGTCACTGCGGGGGAGACAAAATTTGCCCAAATGTCTGTCTTAACATGTGATTTAGTCTTATATTCAGTTATAACAACTGGTGTCTCTTTAGACAAAAGAACCAGTCTGCCAATGGGATGAAATCATTTCACGTGTTTAGAAGGTGTTATTAAAAAGGAAACACTGTCAGGGTTCCCTGAATGAGCACATATTATTGAAAAACATTATTTCTGATTGAATTCTACTGTAACAAGTAGACTTGTCTCACCTCTTTGGCAGCAGAGTCTACTGTCTTAAAGAAAAGAGCGATACATAAGATTGTAATCATAGTATCCAATCACTTGTTAAAATAGACACTTTTGGCAGTGATGAACTGAAAAGAAAGAGGACAATAGATACTGCAACTGTTCGAGGAAAAGCCTGTGTAAGGGAGAGATTCATGAAAATAAAAAGTGAGGTAAGCCATGGGCAGAGAAAAAGTCACGGGTGAAAAAAACTGTTTGGTATGGTTTTATTAGAATTTTTAAAGGTCTGTTCACTCCTGATGCTGACAAGCTGATTCAATGACTCTTTGGTAAATATCACCAACCATCCTGATTGGTTCTCGCCCTCAGAGCGGAGCACCTGATTGGTCACAGAGCCTGTCAGTCATGACGGAGTGGGTGGGGACAGAAAGAGAGACGATTGATTTGTCACTGAGCGCAACAATAGCCACAGTCAGAGGTACATTATATATATATTTAAAAAACAAAAGAGAAATATTGATAATTAATACCAATCTTAAATAAGTTGTTTTTAACATTTTGTACATTTTTATGTGATCCAGATCTTTCAGGAATTTTTCAGTCAGAGGATCTACTTTGAGCTTATTTTGAAATTAAGAGTTTACAAAGATTACAAAAAAAGCAGATTTATTGAAGTTTATCGGGGTGATGGGTGTTGAGAAATGTAAGCTATTTTTTAAGACTACCGTCAGCATTTGCTGGTTCGGTAGCACCCTGGGTTTTTCCTACAGAGGCTATAGCACAAATCTTTTACACAGACCAGAGATTACAACTGTTTCAGATTATGTGATGTCATTTTGGAGGGCAGCAGGAAAGAGTCTCTTTAGTCTGTTTGTGACGATGAAACTTGCGCGTGTTGTGTTGTTTTGTTTTGTTCGCTCACTGATAAACGTTACTAGTGCATCTTTCAGTGTGTTTTAAGGCAGTTTTAAGATAAAACGTATAAAGAAATGCTAAGAGAAGAAAGTTAATGTGGGGAATAGTGTTGTAGTGCTGGCTAAAACCGTGAGTTCAGACTTACAGGTGGGCCAATTGTTAGTCGATGGTGTTCTAGTTTTGAGGGAGCTTTGTACATATATATATGGGATTTGAACTAATTGGATGGCACACTAAAAAACCCTTTTGGACCATGTGTGTGTACTCCAACTACACTGCCGGTACGTGACACTTGATGGAACACGTGATGCGTTTAAATCTCTCATATCGTTTTCTGGTGTAGAAGATGTTGATCAGACTGAAGGAACATCGCAGGAGAAGAGTTGCAGGTATTTAACGTAACAGAAGCTGATCACCGAATCAAATTAGAAATGATTTGTAGCCATTTCTAAGAGGATCTGTGATAACATCATGTTGAGTATCCTGTGTTTATCATTTAAATGGCTGCAACTGTTTAGACCTTTAAACAGAGTCTGTGAAAGTTTTTCTCTTTTTAATGGCAGTGACCAACAAGACAGCGTTATCAGGAGTTACAGGCGGTGAAGATCTTCAAAAGTGAACTTGTGATTCTGGTTTGAGTAGATGTGTTCATGGATGTTCACTGCTGATATGGCTGTTAGTTCCCAAGAAATCTCGAGCCATGGAGTCAAAGATGAACAATATCAAGGTTAAAACCGAGAAGGGATGCAACAAAACTGATTCAAAGATCTCTATTTGGCACAAGGAATGAACATTGTGACGTTATCCTGTGACTTCATTTGTGTCAAAATGTGTTGGTCTTTGCAATACAGTACATAGGTTTGTGTACTTTGACAGTACACAAAGTTGCAGTCACATTATGAAACCGAGATGCATGACTTGAGTCATCGTTTGGCACTAAGTCCGACTCCTGTATTCCTGATGAGAACTGTATGCGTCACTTTTCGGCAACTTAACATCCATCACCACGTGTTCATCAAACAGACAATGCCTGTCAGTTAAAGCATAGTGTCTCTGAATGGAGAGGAGAACAGAGAGGTAGAGCGGTGAGAAATGACTTCAGATCAATTGAAAACGGATGTTTTATTTTAAAAAAAGTTCTGTTCAAAATGTAGTTCGATTTGGATCAACTTCTCAGGAAAGGACATTAGCAGTTTATGTTCAAAATCTGTCTAAAGGTTACAAAAAAAATCCCAGCATCCACAATATAGTTTATCCATAACATTCATACATGTCTTGCTGTTTTGCTATTATGAATATCCAAACACTGTACGCATTTATATCATGTCTGTTGCTAGACATTAACATGGCGGCCACTTCACTCAACTATATGCATCCATGTCATCTAATAAAAATATTACCCAAAAAGTCTTTATTGTCGAGAGCCAGTTATCACAGTTTGCCCGCCATAGCTGAACCTCCGTACTGGTACACTGCTTTTAAACGAGCAGTAACAACATGGATGGCAAGTTTCTCTATTGGAGCTCTCACACTGTATTTACGCTCTTATTATTATTAAGAAGTGAACTAATGCTTAAAGTTTATTTTCAGAAGTCACTCTGCATACTCTTTGGCTGCTACACAGGCCCCTGCAGTGCACATTACCATCAAAGCCCTCTCATTATAATCGATCTTGCTGCCTCATGTTACCAGCTGGGTTGTCATGTAACTCTGTAGACTGTATGCGTTTACGAGCTTTATGCATATAGAAAATATGCAGTAACAGTAACGGAAACACGCTTATTTGGGATAAAGCATTTATTTTCCTACTACAGTACATGCACTGAGTTTCAATGCTGAAACCAAGCGAAGGGCCAAACCACTATGATGACAACGTTTGCATTTAACATCACAGACTCTGAGATAAAATCTCAATCTGTATGCACTGCTACATGATTACCGTCATCCCATGATAACTAAGGGGGGGGGATATCATCGTGAACTATTGTCCCGTCTTCATGCGTACCTGTTGCTCCTCCAGCATTTGCACATGCACCAAAATGCTTGAGCAATTCTCTGTAGATTTAAAATAAAAATACTGTATAGGCTTCACGTACACCGCTGTATAGACAGTTTATCCCTGGCTTTGGTCCTTTATTTCTGTGCTTCATCCTCCTCTAACTAACCGGGGGTATCCCTCACACCTCCTTTTTTGCCGACCTCTCAATGCAAATTGCATGACCTCATCTGTAAATACTGTGTTTATGGTTGTGGCAACAAAAAAAAAACAGTCTGGGTAAAGATTTCCTTTCTTTCTTCCCTCTGCGTGTCTTGTCTTGTGTAAAGCAATCTAGATATAGGCTTGGCTGTCTTGAATATCTTAGATGAATGCATGTTCTCCCTGTTTTTACCAAGAGCAGGAAGGGAAAAAAGATAAGTCTGAGACAATAAAAAGGCTTTTTGCTCAGTCAAAAATTAGGCATTGGTCATCTGAGCAGTTTTGTGACCACATTTAAAAACAAAAACACATCATAAAGTGTGCTTTGGGCTTCATTTTAATCATTGGATTGACTATGTGATTGCTAATTCTGTTAGCTTCCTTTCAGTTGATTCAAACACAAAAACGGATTTTGTCTCAGTTAAATTATGTCTCAGTACAAAGAGGAAATGATGAGGAAACAAGGACTTGGAAAAGATCGTTTTACAATCTCTTACAGAGCGGCTCTAAAATATATAAACTTATAGTTAGCTTTGTTGTGCTTTTGCTCTTTGTGTGTGTGTGCGCGCGTATATCATTAATGCCAGACACTAAGCGCTAATGCTAACACCTAACCTCATTGCTAACGGAGCATGCTATTAACTGAATCAGTTGAGTTCAGAAACATTAATTGTTTAGACGTTCCGTTTTTAAGATGTTTAAAAAAACACTGAACCGAATGAATGGAAAATAAAACACCTCATTTCATTGCAAACAACAAAAGGCCTTTCGGTTCTGTGATGAAACAGATCTTTGGCCCCATGTGACACTGTAGCATTATTTTAGTGTGTAGCTCATTTATCAGTTTAGCAGCCTTTATGAGTTTAAAAGGGAATTTCACCCCTTTGAGGATTAGCTCTTGTTTTGAGCTACTGAACTTGAGTTCGGCCCAAGAGTACAACGTTTGTTGCCTGAACTTACATAAAACTGTGATTAAAACATTGAGATCACACACCAGAGGATGTCATATGTGAGGTATTACTTAATATAAATTCAGAAGTTCCTGACATGAGTCAAGTATTTACAAACCTTAAATTTAATTACCTGCCTTTTAAGTATCAGTAAAAGTAACAAAAAATTATTTACACAACCAACACATGGAATTCAAAACTGTTTAAATCTAATACACAAATACCGCTTTTAACTTATTTATTTAGGATTTTAAATATTTGAACTCAGGTCTACTATATGCAAAACTACTGGACATCACGTGGTATAAGAGAAAAATAGGCTGTTGTTTAGTTTATTATTTCCGCGTTGTGTGGGCATGTACAGTAGCAGATTCTCTTGCACGGTCACTTTGTTGTTTTTGATTGTTAGTCAAACTGATTATTTTGTTGTTTTATTGATCAGTCAGATTTATTTGTTTTTGTTGTTCTTTTGTCACTCAGTCTCTTTTAATAAGAAACTCTTGGAGATTACATTTAAGAAGAATCAGAAAAAAAGACTTAAAAAATACCCTAAGTAATGACCCCCTCTCTTCTGGGACAACCAAGCCTTATGAACTTTGTGAAGTGAAAATTTTGAATGTTTGTATGTTAAAAAAGAAAACATGGATTGTTTTATATGTTAATACTGCCACAATAAAGCTCCCTAATGAATATATATTGAACTACGGTGCCTAATGAGTGGGTTATTTTACATTACTTTATATGACTCTTTGTTTATTGTGGTTTTTAAAGAAGTTACAGGTTGGGGTTTAATCTCTGAGGCTTAGAAAAGAAAAATCACTAAATCACCCTGTCATTATGAACCTGTGATTCAAGACAATTTCCCAAAACTTTCTCAAAGCTTTGTCTCCCTCGTGTGGTTTGAAAGTCAGTTTGCGCTTAGTGTTGGCGTCTCCATGGTGATGTTTGTGTGAGCAACACAAGATTTCTGGGATAGGAGTGATAAGGAGTGTTCAAACCTTTACTATCAGGAGTTGACTCTAGTAGCCTAGAGTCTAGTTTCGAGTAGAAACCCAAAGATCTCAAGGAAGCTTGACTATACCGACTCCACATGAAGGATTGTGCTGAAATAAAGGTGAGGAAAGTGAGGAAACCTTTAGGGTAAGTAGTGCTGTTTTATGCATACATAAGCTGGAAGAGGTAGATCTGATACGTCAAGTTGTAATTCATGGTGATTTTTTTTTGTGCAGTGCATGGAATTTAAATGGTTGTTTTGCTTCTGTTTTAACAGAACAGTGTTGTCAAAGTAAAACATTAGTGTGTACAGTCTGATCATCAGTGTCCTAAAAGGAAAACAACATGGTCGACATAACAACGTAACAAAGGATGTCAAAGCAACAAGAGAATGCATGAAGGCTGTGTGATGTCGGGAGGAGAAAGAAAATAACCCTGCTGCACAATTCAAACATTAAATAAAGGTGCCGGCAGGCAATGGATGACAATGGATACATCTAAAAAACATGAGCCACAAATGACTTTTCAAGCAGCAAATCCAAGTAGGGAGAAACACCCTATAGCAAGAGGAGGACATACTGTGTCTGACCTCCTGGAGGACTCTGGGAATTGTAGGCAGATCATCAACCCTGAGCTCAGGCGTCATCTTCTCAGTGACTCTCTCTTCAGTGAGCAGCAGAAGCTGAGGCATGTGTTGGACTGGGCTCACACTTTCCTCAGCAGTGAGTCAGAGGTTCAACACGAATTCTGCAATGAAGAGCAGAAAAACTCACCTGCATATAAGCATTCATCTGCAACTAAATACTATTATCAGATCTCCTGTTCTGCAGGTGGTAATGCGATATTTGGAGGAGTGAGTACGGAGAGAGTTAGTCAACTTGAACCATCAAATCATGAGAACAGTGACTCAAATAATCATCTCTGTGCATATAAACCCCCTTTTACAGATGATCCCTGCACCTGCTTCTCCTTTACCTGGGGGAGAGATGAGGTAACTCAGCCTGAGTACAGAGAAACCCCTGAAAATGTGGAAAGTATGGAGCAACAGGATACCACTAATAAACTATTTTGTGGCCAAAACAACAACTGCAGAACACGCGGCCTGTTCATATCTAATCAAAGGCAACGCTCCAGCTTATCTGAGAGAGACACAAATCAAACGCTTATAGGAGATGGAGCAAAATGCTCAATCACAGAATCCACATCATCCTGGGGCGATAGCCGTCACAAGAAAAGCATGGCGAGTTATGAAACAACTAGAGCTCAGTCAGAAAGAGGCATGTCAGGGCATCAGATGGTGCTGAGCAAAGTAAAGGTCGAGGAGGGGGAGGTGGGAATAAGGAAGGAAATTGTGAAGGCGAAAACAGAGGATACCAGGATGGGCGAAATGAAGGGGAAGGTAAATAAAGAACAAGGATCGAGCTCAGAGTTTGCGGTGGGTGCAAAGGATAACATAAGCACCAGTGAGCCTGAGAGGACACCGGAACAGATGGAAAAAATGAGCTATCATTTGAAAATACCACCAACGTTAACCGTATATCAGCAGTACCAGCTTTGTGTGGATCAATTGCATCACCTCAGAGTTAGACAAAGCCAACATATTGAACCGGGACCGGGATGCTTTGTAGAGTCACCTGCAAAAGAGAGTAAGGCATGTGAAGAAATAGCAGCACCTGTTGAAGCACCAGCCCTGCCTATATCAACCTTTGAATTTAACTCTTCCACAACAAATCCTAAGATTAAAAAACATCTTTATAAAGTAAGAAGCAAAATAGCTACAGCTGAAGAAATTACAAAGGTGAGGAATCCTGATATCATTAACAAAAAACAGGACAGATCTAAATACAGTAGAAATCGGGCAACACATTGTGAAAATGGACAGACAAAACATCGTGTTGAGAGTGGACCTGTTTGTCAGAGAAACACAGTTACCAGCAACACACATTTGGACCTTGATAGCAACAAATTTGGTGAGTTGATAAAAGGAACTACAGGAGGCATAACTTCAACAGATAAGCTTATTAACACCCTTATGGAGCACCTGAGGCCTGCACATGGTGATGATGTTCCCGCTGTGGAAGAGAGCGCTGCACTCACCACTAACCCAGGTATTGAACATCATACATGAAGGCCGTTAAATGTTGTGTCAGTGCCACCCATTACTGTCCAGAGCTGTGGCTATTAACCTGCTGGTCCGGTCCCCTCCCAGGGGTCACAGAATAAACCTGATTTACAGAACAGGAAAGAAGACAAAACATACTTTTGCTAGATAAATTTAGATATATTTTCCTCCAATGTCTGTCTGTTTTTTTAATGTCTCTAAAATTATTTAAGTTAAACAGTCTAAGAAAGAAAAATCACCCTTTTTACAAATCATTGACTTGAAGGCACAAGTATTGTGGTCATTTCTTCATTTTAAAACATTGGGTAAAAAGGTTCGGAACTGGTCAAAGGCAAGGTCTAGGTTCGCTTACTTTTTTGTTTTCTACCATTTAATTTTAGGCCAAATAAGTGATAATTGTGATAATTAATTATGATAATGAACTGGCTTGTCTGTGTTGAGGTTTGCTTCCAAAGAGAATCGGTCACAATCCAGGCTTAAAGGATTGTCGGAGCTGTGTCAAAGGTCAAAAGAAAAAAGCTAGGGGTCAAGGGGCCCCATTGAGACTCTGTGAAAAGTCAAGTGTCTCAATGCCTTCTCCAAACAATAAGGAAATATTTCAAAGGTAACAGATAGTGCCAAATATGTGCATGACCATTAATTAAAATTTGTTATTGTATCTTCTGACTATAATATCAACCTGTAATATTCACCTGAATTCACCTTATTAAATAACTCCTCATCCATACTCACTGTAATGCCCGGCTTTTCATTTTTGGGTTTTATTGCGAACATGGATCCACAATTTGATAAAAGGCAATCTTAGTGACACATGAAAACATGTAGCCTACTTTTAGGGGAGTCAATATCCAAAATTATTAGCTGCTTTTTAAAATACTAGTAGCTCTACAAATAGCGTCTGATGGAGTGTTTCGTTCTGTACCATGTTCCCAGCAGACCTCAGTCATCAGGAGTAATCAAACACACAAAAAGATACACCCCAGAGGACAAAGTGAAACCTACCTCAGCCTTCAGAGATACACACAAATGTCTGCCTCCTGCAGAGACACACACACCTCTCCATGATGACCCCGGACGAACATCACCAACCTCTGGTGAGTTCAACACCAAAATGACATGCCGAGAATGTTACATGCAAACACATTATGAAATGCTGCAAAAAGCAACATATTTATAAAAGCAAAGTCACCAGCAAGTCATATGAATGGCTAGATTTTAATGGGATTACACTCGTGGTGCCACATAACACAGATTTGCTTCTGTTCCTCATGAGGACCCTTGGTTTGAAATTCATTTCACACTTTATCGGACATCGTTCAAGCCGCAAGTCATAAGATAAAGGGGATTTTCACGGAGTAAGAAAAGAGTGTTCTGTGTGCGTACTTGAGTTAATGTTGTAGAGACAAAATGTGTTCAGCAGTCGTTATGCAGACTCATCTCCAGTGTGGGCTGAGCTCTTAAACCAAACATTGTGTGAACTATGTCTTTAGTAAAGTCTTGCAACAGTAAAAATTTAGAAAGCCTTGATAAAATTCCCTTTCTTTCCATTCCATTATCCCCCCAAAAATAATTATAATAATTATAGCCTAATAGAATATCAATATATAACTCTTTGTTTACCTTTACAGGTGCATGTTCATGTGTACAAACTGACTGCAAACACAGTGTAAGAAACCTGTATTTCTGCTCTTTGTTCATGATGTATAATGATATTATTAACACATTTATCAAATGTTATAAAAGCCCATGACACTGCAGTATTTCAGATGAATGCTTTGGCTTTCTGTCCAATATCTGTTGTTTTTTTTTATGTGTGTTGTTGTCATTATGCCTGTCAGCAAGCAGGTGTCCATGTATGTAACCGCTGGCTGTATCTGCCCGATGAGGTGTGGCTGTCCATCCTGTCTCTGCTGCCTCACAGTGAACTGTGCAGAGTGGTGCAGGTCTGCAGCCGCCTGCACACACTGGCTGCTGATCATACACTCTGTGAGTCAGCCTACAGTAACGTAAACTCTTCTCACTTGAAAAACAAAGACCATGGTTTAACTCTAGATAGTGTTCAGCAGCGTCATTTTGCGTCAAGGTTTAGGTTAAACATTGGACTTAATGACATGGGTAAGAGGGATGTCCTAAACTTTTCCAAGTAGGTGTGTGTGTGTCACAGCAAATGGTGTGTTCTCATGATGTAAGTTCCTCCAGTGCAGTGGTGTACTGTACCACTCCCTGGACAAACATAAAGTAAGATAACCCAGACCCGTGCCGTCACATGCTCTCATACCTGTACACACACTGTGGGGGAAAAAACAGGTTCATACACTGAACAGTAAATCTTTCTCTGTCTGAAGGGAAAAATCTGAGGATTGAAAACTCCAACCTGACGGAGCAGTGGTTGCTTTGCGTGGGCAGACGTCGTCCTCGCAGTCTGTGTCTGTACAGCTGCAGCGGCCTGTCTCTCAATTCCTGGTGGCTGGAGGTGTTTTTCACTCTGTGTAGAAACTTTCTGGAGGTAAAACAATAAATCGGAACTTGTCGAGTCAAGTCAAGAAATTTCTTTATTGTGGAGTACTTTATTGATCGCTCAGAGCAGGCATGCCGGATCGGAGAGCAACTAAAGAAATGCTCTATGGGATGGATGTGTGTTGATAGCTTTTGGATGTTTGCCATTGTATGATTTTACAGGGTGGCCCTATAGGATGTAGGATTAGATCCTCCTAATGACTGTGTTTTTATTGACCCCACATCCTGAATCCATCTGCCTGCTGTCAATGGCAACAACACACACGAAAGTAACAAATGTTACTAGAGCAAAAAGTTAATTACCACAACTTCATCCTTTTATTCTGTCAAAAGTAATAACAACATATAGCAAATCACATATTGTACATACACCATTTTTATAAATAGAGAAGACTGCTGATTGGACCATATCATATTGTAACTGAATTATAGTCACAGACATGCAAAATGTTCTTTTTCTGTTTCTCTCTCATGCAACAGGTTTGAAATTTTATTTCATTTCATTTATTTGTTTATTTGACTGGGACAGTGCTCATTAATTATCAGTAAAGTAACTCTAAATGAGCCAGAGTTAGCTCAACAGGCTAATTTTGATCTGTTGTCGCTATATTTTAAAGACAGCGAGTTGATGAAAATTACAGTATGAACTTTAAATTCTTTAAAATGTAATTGCATTTTCAGCGTTTCGCTCACGTGTTAAAGATGATTTAAAATTGATTGTATGGCTCTATAACTGATTATTTATCAGTCAATGTCGCGTGCAAACTAAATTTTTCTCTGTTTCTTAACTAGGTGAATAGTCCATATTATATCTAGCTTGTTTGTTAATTACAGGAACTGAAGGTCACAAGTTGTACTGGTCCGGGTCTCAACGGTGACCAGATACTGCTTCTGATAGGTCAACTATGTCATCGTGTGACCAGTGTGGATATGAGCTGGAGTGGAGCAACAGACAAAGGAGTGAAAGCTCTGAGTGACTGCTGCCCAGGGTCGGTTTCACACACACACACACACATACACACACACACACACACACACACACACACACACACACAATTAAGGGGTACATGTGTGAAACATTTTTACATGTTGAAATTAAATTTGTTGACAAGTTGTTTAAGTGTTGATATTTTAAGGGTTTAAATGCTCTTTTGAGGGCTCAGATGATTCAACTATGTCTTCTAAAAACTCATTGAACTAGTTTTGAACACATTGAACTATTTCTATACAGTTTCAATCTTCAGTAATAATGTAGTTTGAGTTTTATAAAACAGTGTCTGTAATGAAATACTCAACAAGCTGCAATAAAATCCACCATCCATTAAAAGGCTTCCCTGAATGGCAGGATAGCTTGAATATCTTTGTGTTGCATAGTTCAGAATATCGTATAAATGTTTGCTGAGGCACATACCATCGTTATGTCCTCTTAATTTAGCCATTTCACAGGTAAACTTAATCACACAGTAATTCAGCAACACCCCAGAATTAATCCTTAATTGTTCTTTTCTGTAGGTTACAACTAAGATCCATTGTCCTGAACGGCTGTCATGTCACTGATGACCCACTGATGAAACTCGTCATGAGGCACAAAGAAAGGTAAGTAAAGTATGTCTGCATTTATTTTATCTTTGTGTTGTAAAAAGGGAATGTCACTATAGCTTGTACCATATGTGCAAGTCAAAGACATTTCTATGTGAGTTTATGGGTGTGTGACTGGTGTCCCTTTAACACCACCTTGTTTAATGTGTTGTTCAGGTGTATCTTTGTTTAGCAATATCTAAATCTGATGTTTCATGCCTTTGAAATCCAAATTTGCTGCCTGACCACATGTGTGTTTGCTCCATGTGGCCACTTCCAACATTGAAATTTTACAATACTTGCTACATATTTAGTACATAACTGTCTTAACATTAAGGGAAGACGTCATCTTGACAATCAACTTTGCATTTTCACCTGTATTTCTTGTGGATAATCTGTCCAGATATAATCAGGATGTGCACACATGTCTGTTTGTTCCTGTTTGTCTGAGTGTGTTTTCACATTAGTCTGTGCAGATTGGAGGTGTTTGGATGTCAGTTCATCACTCCATCCTGTCTACAGGGAGTATATGAGGTACTTTATTTTGAAAAGTAACCAAACACAATTTATTTTGTTCTAAACTGCAAAAAAAAAAAAAAGAAATGTTTGGCACCACATACCATGTCTAAGATACGTCTCAAACATGCTTCAGCATGTGAAAAATTTACAAAAATAGTACAGTGCTTATATTGTATATAAGCACTGTACTATTTTTGTAAATTTTTAACATAACATTTTGTTGTTTTTAACATAACAAATTGTTTTCTACTTCATGTTCAATATGTACAGTTTATCAGTTTCTGTGCTTTAGATGTGTCCTGGCCTTCAGCGTCTTAACATCGGACAGGTGCCAAAAGTCAACTCACACAGTCTCACTGTGATGACATCCCAGCTCAAAAGTCTCATTGCACTAAATCTCACTGGACTACAGGCAGTGAGTTTCAGATTTTGTGACAGAAATGTTGAATCCTTTTTCAAAGCTATGTTTGAGTCTATCTCTGAATTCTGTGGTACAAAGGCTTTCCTGGAGATTTAAAATGACTTTCTGCATGTGTATTCTTACTGTATTTCTTACTGTATCAGGTTACTGATGCTTCAGTGGACACTTTGCTTCAGAACTGTGTCGAATTTCAGAGTTTGATCTTCAGTTCCTGTCCTGGAGTCTCTGACCTGACACTGCACAGCATCAGCAAATACACACCTTTAATCAGGTACACACACACACACAAACTTGAGCTACCATACTTGTGATGAAACTGTTTTGAATTACATCAATTCCCTCGAGACAGGGTTGGTTGATAGTCTTGACATCTTGACAGTTAGCAGCAATAGTGTGTGTCCATGTGTTTGTGAGTCAGATCCCTGGATGTGAGTGGCTGTAAGGCAGTAACAGATGTAGGAATTCGGTCTCTGGCTCTGGGATGTAGAAGACTTCAGCAGCTGGATCTCAGCTCCACTGGCACAGGAAACAGAGGGTACAACACATGTCACACAACAAACTGAGCTGTTTCTTTCTTTATGTGTGTGATGTGTCATATTTAATGATTTGGTGAAGATCTACCAACAATGGTTTTGACTTCTTATGCTGTGTGTAGAGTTGTCGCCACATCCTCAGATAGCAGCTGTGGAATCAATAACTAATATGTTATAATAACTTACATTTTGTGTGTGTGTGTGTGTGTGTGTGTGTGTGTGTGTGTGTGTGATATAGGGTTTCTTTGCTGGCAAATTACTGCAGTGGACACCTCCATACTGTCAAACTCAGTTTCTGCCACATCACCTTAGAGAACATTCTGAAGCTCTGCAGACGCTGCAAGAAGTAAACACACACATGTGCACAAATACATTTTAATCTTTCCAGAAAATACAGAGTCATTATTTGTCTGCATTCATTTCACTGAGTAAACACTTGAATGTGTCCATGAAGGCTCAGTTTAAGATGTAGTTAGCTCTTTGGCTCTCTTTGATCAAAAGCTCTCCAGTGTTGCTGCTTTCATTTTAACACCTTAAACTTCATCATACTTACAATTTAACAATATTTTTAGAAGTTCATACAAGTATGAAAACATTTGTGACTGTGAGACATAACAATATGCCACAAGCTAGCCCTACTTTCCCACCTTGCTTTGATGAGCAAGATGTCATGAATACAATGACCAACTGTTTGGATCAGATCAGCTGCTAGTGGGGTAAGAGTGATGTGCCGGAATAAAAACAGTCTTGCAACAAAAATCTAACTGTTTGATACCTTTGCTTTGTAAAGCAAAACATAACATAACTCATATGTATACAAAATTACACTTATTTGCTGTTTTCATGTTTGGCTCTCTCTTTAGGTTGAAGGTGCTCCATCTCTACGGCTGTGCCCATCTCCCCACTGAGAGAGAGATCAGAGACACTAATGCTACTGTTACAGTTCACCCTCTGCCCTGACTCACACACAAACACCTGCACACAGCTGGACAGATATACACACAGCATATAAAATTTAACTGAGTAATAGTAGATAATCTTGAAAATAATCCATATATCATAACATTTTTATTACATTTATTCCTGTGATGTTAGAATAATGGACTAAGATGAAGAAGGAGAAGGTCTGCTGGTTTTCAAGGAAGATTATGACTTATATACAGACACAATACTAAAATTTTTATTTCTCTGCATGTCTCTGTGTGGGTTTGTCGATGGATTTCAGATGCGCTATGACCTCTTATCCGGATGCATCAAGTTTTTATTCTCAGTATTATCCAGCTGTTTTGGAGTCTTTGAAATGGGTTACTTGAGTTTTTCCACATTTTTCCAGATTTTCCCGGCTCATTGACGTGTTATCTTTATCATAGCTTATTAGTTACCCCTGTATATCTGTAAGAAAAAGATGATCCTGGCCACACTGCACACTGATTCCTCTTTTTTGCTTGCCTTGAAGGATTCTTCCACTTTGATACCAGTCATTCCTTTAACAGCATTTGCAACACTATGTTTGAAGGTTCCCAATAACTAGGTTTTTGTCATTAGTGTACACGTGTCAAAGAAGGAAAGAGACAGAGGAGAAGGGAGGGTTTAAAAGTGAGGTAGCAGAAGGATTGAGACTGATCCTGGAGCTGCAGTCTTTCCTGAGCAGCTGGCTTACTATTACTTTTGTTTAGTTAAGTCTTATCTAACCTAACCTAAAACTTTGTAATAAATTGAGCTCAGTGAACTCCATGAAAGCATGTAAATCAAAATTTCATATGACGAACCATTGATTTAATATAAACTCAGAAGGAAAGACTCTTATGGTGACTTAAGGTCTCTTGTTTTGATAATTTTATATAACAACTGATGTGATAACATGACACACCGCATCAATTTATAACTAAATAAGTGGGGCGCAAAGGGGGCTGGACAGGGTCTGTCTTGGGGTCTTTTAGTGGGTTAATCTGGCCCTGTTGTTTTCCTTAATATTTTTACCTAATGTAATATGTACATAAAGTAATAACAGACTGTTAAAAACAAAGACTTGTTGAAAACAACAGATGGTGTGACAGATTTGACGCTCTGAAAGATCATGTCCAGGATTGTTCCTTCTTTAAATCTAAATCTAAAGTAACTGATCCCTCACAGTTACGGGGGAAAAATACATCTTTAACACAGTATGGGAAAACAGTAAAGGCTCATCCTTAAATTCAAAACACAATCCCAAGTCTCAACTGAGTATACATATTTATGCAGGCAAGTTACGCAAGTCTTTCCTTTGTTTATTACTGACTGAGTTACTTTTGCATTCATTAAATCAAAAGTTATAGACTATTTCTATTGATTTATAGTCTGAAAATGAATTAGTACAGTAGCCTACATTATATGTAGACATGCGTCTCAGGTAAATACATTTTTTTCTTGCCATGGTATTTATACAGGCTCATGATCTCAAGTTCTATCATTTATAAAGTTTATTCAAATACACTACAGGCTATTAGCCTTTCCCCACAATGAAAGCGCTTTCATTTGGCCTGAAGCCCAGACCTCTATTGTTAAGGTGAGAGAGCTCCTCTCGCCCTGAACACACACACACACACACACACACACACACACACACACACACACACACACTACACATTGTACTGACGACCGGTGCGTTACCTGAGTCAGACACAACCGCCTCTCTGTTTGTCCGACGGTCGATTCGCTGCAACAAACCACAGAATTATTTGGTGAAGACAGCACAGGAGCAGGAGTGTCCACGTTTGATTTATCGAGCGGTTACATCGGTTAAAACTGATGCAGCCTATTCATCACTTTTCTTTTTGTTTTGCAAACTCATGACAGCTGTCGAAATGTCTGGATAACAGTCTGGAAGTTTGGAGCTATCCCGGTGTCACGGGAAATAAACACTGGCACTTCTGTCGGGTTTCTGGGTTCGTTCGTCTCGGTAATTTACTGAAACGACTTCTTTTAACCAGCCTGCCACATCCCTCCATCAAGGGAATGAGCGCAGAGGAGCAGGACCGGCTGCGCACCCTCTTTTACTCCTACGACGTGGACAATTCCGGGCGGATCGAGAGAAACGAGTTTCTCACCGTCTGTGCAGAGTTGCAGGTGACCGCGGCCGAGGCCGACCGGATATTTAACCGGCTGGACGTCGACCAGGACGGAACCGTCACCCTGCAGGAATTCATCAGCGGCTTCCACGACCGCTACGCAGAGGACATGGAGCCGGACCGAGGAGACCCGTCCGCAGCCTGGGAGCACTTCCAGAGGAGACTGGGCGAGCAGGCCAAGTTCATCCCCAGGTGAGCGCGCACACCTGTCCGCTGGGCAGCCAGGAAGGTGGCGCAGTACAGACGGGTGGATGTCTTTAAAATATGTAAATACTTTAGATGATACGAGCGTGTTCAACAGTAAGCTCAGTGTGCGTAAAGATCTCCACAGGGAGATTCACAAATTATATATCAGGCTAAAGCAAAAGGAAAGAGCAGTGATCATGTGATGTTATTTGAATAACATATCCATGCTGTGACTTTATAACAGAAAAAGAGTGACTGTGTCTGTGTGTGAAAGAGTGTTTAGCTGTATTTGTCTTGAGTGTGTCTATTAACCCAAGGCATCTGAAAGATAAAGGTTTCATGTTGACTCATCTGTTCAGATACAGTATGGTGAGATCTGTACAAGTAACTAATGTCTCACTACTTTTATTAACATATAGCCTAAGTAGGCCTAGTTGTGTGGAGAGAGAGGCCTGAAGGTGATCAAAAGTTAAAACATGATGAGCTGTTATTCCATTAATTAGTAACAGTAGTAGACAGAAATCAAGCATAAATGCCAAACATTACCTTGTCCTATAGTTTCTTAATTGAGAGTCTGTTTAATATGATTGTACACTGAATATCTTTAGGTTTTGAACTGTTTATTTGTAAAAACAAAATGTTTCTGGGAAACCTTTGATGGATCATTTTATTACATAGTAAAACGATTAATCAATAATGAAAATAATTGTTAGTTGCAGGACTAAACTACCTTGAAACTGCCTACAGTTGAGTCTTTTGGATCTTTCTGATTGTTAAAAACAAACCCAAATCCTCTTACTTAACATTATTTTCACACTAACACCAACATCGCTCTGAAGCTTTGTGGCAAATTTTATTCACTGAAATGTATGTTCTAAACTGAATCATTATATTTATAATGTTATACATCTGTCTGTTAATTTAACAGTTTTTAACCATGTGGCGATATGGGTCCGAATCCTTCTTAAATTGATTTTCTATTTTGGCCCCGCTGAGTGATGTTTTGTTGTTGTAACATCTTTAAAAGCAGTTTGTAAAGAGAGTTTCTCATTATGGACTCTTGTGGATGACTTTTTCCACTTTACATAAAAATTTATAAATTTTATAAATTTATCTGGGGGTTTTAAATATTTTCATTTTATTCTTGGTGGTACCACAGAGTATAAGCATTATGGCCGATATTAGTGTAAGGAAATTAAGAATATTTTAGCAAACAATAAAACAATCAGCTGTGTTGTTTGTGAGACAAAACCTCTCTCAGGTAAAGCTGAACAGTTTTAAAACTAGTTTTGTTAGTTTTCAGTTTTAATTAGCTGAGAATCATTAATTTTGACAATATAAAATATTAATTTAATCACAAAATGATTCCACTGAGATTCAATGAATGAAGCCTGCGAGAACAGGCCCTTCAAGGAGAAGAGAAAGGGCCAGTCATCCTTAATTTTTGAGACGCTGTGCGGAGGGTCAGCATTGAGATCACAACGCTGGAGAATGTAGGTTCTCTGAAGCCATCTCTGAAGCGCTCCTCTCTCCATGCCTGACATTCCTTCCTAGGGGTGGGGGGAGTCAAAATTTGGATGCATCAATACTCAAAAATAAAATATAGGTTTGTGTCTAAGGATGCCTAAATATAATTTCCACTATTCCTACCTGGGCATATAGCTGCTGCATCTGAGTCTTGTAGGGTTTCATCGGTCTCCCCTGAGGGGAGTTCTTGAGGTGCCCATCGGACACATCCATATTGATCAACGGGACCTCTTCCATTTGTCCTCGCCTGGCGATTGCTGTGCTTATTCTTCCTTAACCGTGCCAATGTGTTGTTTCGGTTGACATGCTCGATTCTGGTTTTTACTTGCTGGACGAGCGATGCCCCAGCTGTATTTTCATCATCATCCACATCCCCAAAACATGTGGGGTACTTCTGTATTATATCGTTTACAACTTTCAAACAGATCCCTCTATTTGGATTTGCATTGTGCATCCTCATTTGATCGACAAGCTCTCTGACCATCGCTCTTCTGGCAGCAGGATTTGGTCTAGTAGAATTTGCAATGGCTGACTGAATCTCTGGCGTCATCTTCTCCCAGTTAACCTTCAAGGATGCAAACAGAAAATAGCGGGAAAAAAAGAGAGGATACAAGGATATAAGCTTTTATGGGTGCATTTATAGTCAATTTCAGCCTCAGACTCAAATGAAGCCCAATCTTATAACAAAATCTGAGAAACAACAAACATCGGCCATTGCCATCGGCCACATTGCTATTTTGAACATCGGCATCGGCCCAGAAGGAACCTGAAAAAATATTTACCATTAGACCCCTATGATCCAGACATATTATGGTGTATTTAAACACCAATCATATTTTCTATAAAATAAAACCATTCATTTTTCATTTATTTCAAACTTTTTGTCGTGGCAGCCCCAAAAAACAACTGTAGAAAGCCACCTGACAGCCTTAGCTAGCTTGCTAGCAGCTAGCTAACTTTAGTTGGCTGTTGGTCAGCTCACCCTCACAACACGTGGTGGTTGTCTGAAAATGTTTGGCAAAACGGACAAAAAAACCCCGATAGAAATATATACGATAATGTTATAAAATCAGTTCTTGATATGCTTTAACAGTTATAAGAAGATAGCAAACATAGAAGCTACCTTTTTACGGCTAACTCACTGACAGGAGGCAGACGTGACGTTCTTCTCAGAAGTCAAGAGCGCAATAAAAAACTTACAAACAGAAAAATTGCTCAAATACTGACGTTCGAATAACGTTATTCCCTCTAAAAAAACACATATATTCGAACATCTGGTTGCGCATTTTGCACATTACGTCAATAACAGCAGAAATTAATACGAAGAGACATAACTACTTGTAACGTTATAGGTAGTTTATTTAGGATTAAACCTATTTGGCAGCGTATCTCAACTAATGGCCAAGACCGCAGAGCAGACCTCACTCTCACTTTCGTCTCGCAGGCGCTCTTTCTCTAAATGACAGTCGCGCTAGCTAGTCAATCCATCCAAACAGTGAAAGAACCATGTTGACGTTACTTCAGGCAGATTAAAAATAGCATCAATTTGTGATGAACAAGGTAGCTAACGTTAGCAACTACCAGTACATACCTGATTTCAATGGACTGATGGAGGAAGAAGCGCGTTAATAATGTTAGCTACCTTATCATAAAAGCACCTATTTCTGCCCATGCCCTAACGTTATTTCCAATTTAGCTAAACCACAAGGGGACAGCTGACTTTATGTTAGCTAATCAAAGCAGACGAAACCGTCACCATCCACTCAGATTAGCAGAAATAATAACGTTATATGATATAAAAAAGGGTAACAGTAAGTTACATAACGTGAAGTTAACTCACCTTCGTCCCAGAATGTTTGCTTCTTTTTTTTTCTTCTTGAACGATGTCCGTTCTCGAATGTCCGTTTAGAACTAACCGCCTAAAAATTCAAAATTCCGATCGCGGTGATTCCATGATGCAACGCGGTGCATGTAAAACCACTGTAAAACTCGGCGTGTACAGTGTAGTTACAATAATAATATAATATATTTAATTCTTGTAGGGTTGCTTGTGTTTGGATATTTACCATATGAGAAGTTTGGCTTCTTTTGTAGAAAGAGGGTTTTGTAGAAAAACATGTTCCTGGTCATGGTTTCTGATTTTTGTAGCACCAACACTCAGGATTGAATTGAAACATTTCAACTGGTATCCTAACCTGTGTAAGTGTGCCTCTACGTCTGTTTCTGTGTATTTATATATATATATATATATATATATATATATATATATATATATATATATATATATATATATATATATATAAATATAACAATAATGATAATTATTATTGTCAATAAATGTTTGTAAAATTTTTCTATTAAGATATTTATTTTGTTGAGGAAAAGGGACTGAAAAAATATTTACTAATAATATTTTTTGAAAGAACATTTTATCATAATAGTTTTGAATGTTCTACCTCAGATTTGTGAAGTGATCCACTGTTTGTCAAGTTCTGACCATAAAGAAAAGTTTAACCATCTTTCAGCCTTTAAATCTGAAAGAAATAATGATGATTATGTGATAATTATCAATATCGAATGGTATGGGTTTTTTTTATGGTGATAACATTTTTGGCCAGCCCTGTGTGTGTGTGTGTGTGTGTGTGTGTGTGTGTGTGTGTGTGTGTGTGAGACCCCAAACCTGGTATGGGACTCAGCCTGGTGCAGCTGCTGTAGCATTGAGACACTGATTGACAACAAGATATTTGCATTTGCTGGCAGCTTTTCCTGTCCACATAATATCTGAAGATTTCCTCAGGAGGTGAGGTGTTTACAACAAACACATGATCATATAAATTATAAGCTTACAGTTTCTATGTACAACTTTATTTTTTAATGTCGGGCATCTCCGCCTTTATCAGTCTGATGTTTGTGTGTGACACTACAGCGAGTTATTGACAGACAGGCTGCAGTGTCTATATGCTTTATCATTACAGCCTGTCCGCCCTGTCAGAAGGCAAACACACACACACACACACACACACACACACACACAAACACACTGTAGACTTATATGACCCACTTTTACCATTGTGCTGTGACGCAGGAGGCTTTATCATTGTATAATTATAATGACTTAAGAACGACATACATAGAATAAACTGTGTGAGTACGCTGCACACATTCTTCTGGTCTGCATTGTTATTATCCTGAGTCACTGGCCAATACAGAGACAAAGTGGCATGTAATGTGTGTTTGCAAGTAATTATTTTGGTAATTATTTATGCAGCTTTCGTGTATTGGATCTTGTTGTACATTCAGCTTTATTATAGTTAAGTGACGCAGCATTTTGCCTTCCATGGTTTCTACTCAGTAGAAACAGCTGGCAAACTTTTTGCTTTGATTGTTTATTGATTTTGTTAACTTGGGCAATCAAGAAAATCAATCAACTATAGTAGAAATGCACAATACCCAGGAACACCGAAATACTTTAAAGTTGTAAGTTTTACATGGTTGGAATTAGAGAGTTAGATAAGAAGACTGACACCACTCATGTCTGTATAGTAAAGCTATAGCCAGCAGCCGGTTAGCTTACAGTATCTTAGCAAGCCTGGATAAGAGGCAGCCAGCTAACCTGGCTCTGTCATTATCTCTCTGTTTTTTTTATTCCAGTGTAAGTATAAAAACCAGAAATCTCAGTTTTACAGGGGTTATATGCCAGACTATTTCTTGACTGGGACCAGCAATTTCCTAGAGTCCCCAATGGTTGCCAGCAAAATGCAGGTTTTACTCTTTTGCACAGATCAAATAAACAAGATGTGTTAATAACTGTTCTTTAGGGGTGCTGGTAGGTTGATTGTGTTACCTTTGGAAAGAGCCAGGCTAGCCTTTCCCCCCTGTTTCCTGTCGTTATGCTAAGTTAAGCTAACTGGCTACTGTTGGTAGCTTCATATTGAACGGACAGACATGTGAGTGATGTCAGTCTTCTCATCTGACTCTTAGAGAGAGGCGTATTTCCCAAAATATCACACTGTTCCTTTAAATTCAAATACTGAATTCCCTCGCTGGGAATCAACAAAGGTTTCTCCTATCTTGTCTTAAGCACAATCCAATATACTGCATTATTGTGATTCAAATTCACTTTGTTTGACTCAATAAAACAACTAACTAGATTAGAAAATTACGCGTATCATCTGTCATCATTTACTCTCAGTTGACCAATGTTAATTTCAGGTTTTGTATGAAACAGAACAACCAGGAGTCCTAAAGTAAGTCATGTTTTGGAGCAAAGCTGATGTCAAATCCTGATTATCTTCCAGGAGTGAACAAGCAGCTATGTTGTACCAGAACATCAGTCTGACTGAGCCCCGACTGATACCTCAGCTTGAGAAAGTCATTATAAATTTCACCAAAGAGATCAAACAGCAGAACTCAGAGATGGAGAACCTGGCTCTCGCTATCAAACGGTGAGAAACACACACGAATGCAAACACTCACTTTAAATGAAATGAAATGAAGATTTTCATCTGACATTGATGTTAATCGGGAGGAGCCTCATTGTTTAAGCATTAGTTCCTACAGTAATTACAGATTTCCTTCTTTTTATTAGTTTAAAACTGTTTGGTAAAAGACAGGCATGATTTGTGGAAAACATTTTTAAAGCTGCTGTTATCGTAACTATAAAGGTATTTGTCTTCTGTTCTCTATATTGTCTTGGTCCAAATATCCAAATTCATTATTAGCTATCAAAACGCTTCACCTGCCCTGTAACCATGCACTTTAGCCCAATATCACACATTTGCCTCATGGGGCTATACAATATGTGATTCCCTCCATGCTTAGACCCTTGATTGGTATAAGGACATCCCCACCCCCTAAAAAAACAGGACACCTCAGCAACAGAGGAGGAATCTGGAAATGGAAAGACATGCAAGAAAACTGATAACAGGTCAATCCGTAGAGCTACCAGTGGGTGCTGTATTAATTAGAACAAGATACCTCAACTAGTAGGATAAGCGGGACAGTAACAGTAGATAAAGGATGTGGAGTACAGTTAAATTTTCCTATCATTGTTGTGCAGAGCGCAGGACCAAGCATCGATGCAGCTCAGTGAAATGGAGGAGGAGATGGATCAACGCATTCATGCTGCTGAGAGAAAAACACGAGAGCAGGTGGGACAATCTCAGACCCCCCCCCCAACCCACACACACACACACACACACACACACACAAACCCCCAAAACACAAAACATGACTTTTTGGTCTTGTCTTAATATTCCAGGCACATGTATTTTGTTTCTCTGGAGTTTGTGTAGGCAAAGCGATAAGCAGGGAACGTTTGTTCAGCTCATCCCTCATGTCAAACAAACGCACATGGCTGTATACCAGATTACTGATCCAAACTCAGACACGCCTGCTGACCAGCTGGATTCCACAACTCTGTGGATCCGAGATATGAAACAGTAGATGGTGTTTAATGATGTGGTCGGTATATTTGTGATGATAAGGATGTGTGGATGAAAATGATAATCTATAGAGAATCAGACTGCATACTTGATGATTCAAGTCTGCTGGCATGCCACCACTGCAACTTCAGATAATGTGCCAGCAACTTATTGTTAACCTCTCACATTCGCTGCCTCTATATGTCGCACTAGAGCACCAGCATCTCAGATAAAAAGAAACCTCTATGGCTCACCAGGCCCCATTGAGAAAACAGTAATTTTACATCACAAATGCTCCAGTCAAAGTACGTCCACTAAAAGTGCTTGGTTTTGCCACTGAAAGACTGTGTCTGACAACATTATGGAAAGAATCGCTACGGAGATAGAGCTTTTTGTTAAACAGTAAGATCTCTCTCTCGCCTCTCTCTCGCTTGCCACCAGACTCCATTGAAAAAATATATAATTTTACCTCATAGGTCATCATAAAACAAAACAAAACTGAATTAAACTGTCTTGGTTAGTCTTTCCACTATTCCAACAATCGCCAACTCTGATTTGGTCAAAATAAATCCTTAATTAGTTAGATGAAACACGAAACAGCGGTTATATCACACTCCTCACAACAACAACACAGGCAGAGAGAGTGCAACAGAATTTTCTCCGCCATTACTCCACTACATCTTTAGATAGCAAATACTGGTTTGCTGCAATATTATGTTCAGAATCTCATATACAGAACCTTTAAGTCTTTTCGTGTCGATTGAGTGATGAGAGAAGTTATTTTAGTGCCATGTTGTTTTTTTTCTAGATACCTGATTGTGAGTTTCATAAAAGCTGGAGATATTTCCTGGAATCTGGTGAAACACATGTGGAATGATAAGATTTGATAACAATATTTAGTTTTCCATGACATAAAAATTAAAAGTGGAAACGACAGACGTGGTGACAGAACTGTACAGATCACTTGTTAGATCAGGTATCAGACCGGCTGATTTATTTAACTATTCATTTCATTGTATCTTTGGTCCTGATGTTTTTTTCAAAGTTGCGCGGGAACATGAATCTATCTTATCACTGCGTCTGTGTGTATAAACTTATGTAAGTGTACTTCATTGACTCAGCTAAGTCAGGAGCTGGTGTTTGTTTTGTCTAAGAAAAGCACACAAAGTTAGAGGGCACTCGCCTGTATTCTCCCACACTGCACACAGTCGTGTCCTGACACCTGTAAGAGAGGTTTTTAATATCAGTTGCTGATACACTTATCTCCAGCTACCTCCATCCACAGTTGCCCTAAAATAGCACAGATTAATAATGTGTCACAGAAATTACATAACTGCAAAGAGACCAAATACACACAAACACACATTCATACAATAATTTCACTGTTATCTTAATGCAACTAATGATTTTTTTTTATTGTGTGCCTGTCTTCGTGTAGGAGAAGAAGCAAACAGAGGCCACGCTGGGTGAGCTGCGAAGAGGTTATGAAAATGAAGTGTGTGAGCTGCAGTGTAGGATCCAGAGGATGCAGATGGTACATTTTTCACTTCTTTGACATAAATGTCAGCTGGACTCCATTCACTAGAATCCACTGACTGAAACCTCAAAGTTAACATGAGTGTGTGCGTGCATGTGAACAGTATTACGCAGGATTAAAAAACTACAATTTTTAATACAATCTGATTTAGCACTACCTGAAAGTCAAATAACCATAATTCTAAATGTGTGGACTAAGATAGAGGAGAAGTACAAGAACATCACTGTGAAAGATGAGAGCCCAGCTTTGAAGAGGAAGATCAATGAGCTAACACTGGTGAGGCTGAATGTCGTCATTACACACTGTAAACTATTTACTATTTATTTTTCAATGTTGAAATTCAGTTTCCTTTTTGAAGAACATTAAAATCATCTTTCAAAACACATCTAGGCATGCTGTTCATATTGTACTGCATATATTATATACACCTTCTTCATGTACATAAAACTACCTGCACACAAATATTTATTACAGCAACCTTTGCACTCTTGTTTTATTGTCTCACTGTCTAAAAATGTTATAGTTTATGTTTATACACATACATGTAGGTCTACATAGTAGTTTTTACATCTATTTTGTTGAGCTTGTTGTCCTGTTAATTATGCTCATTGTACATTGAGAGCATCGTATGTCTACACATGCAGGGCCTATGAAAGTGATTCTGATTCTGACTCAGATTTTCCTCCGTTTTCTCTTTCTGTAGGAGAACCAGCGGTTAAAACAGGAGCTGATGAAGTCTCAGACCAAAGTTGCCTGTCTGCACAGTGAGATGGACTCGCTGAAGACAGAGCTAACGGATCAAAGCATCAGCTCTGAACGGTGAATGTGTTACAGTTTGGTCTGGTTTGATTTCCTTATGTGTGCTGTGTGTTGATGTTTACATGTTTCATGTCTTTATATGATTATTCAGTTCAGTTTTGGATCATTTTGAGTGGATGTATTTTGACTCATGTTGTTGAGTTGAGTCTTAATTCTTTCTGCAACCTTTTGGGGGGATGGGGGGGTTAGACAAGAAGTTCAAGTGCAGTCAAATAGGAGCATAGCTTCATGTTTTATTAGTCACGTTTGTCCACAGATGTCTCTGCTGATCATATATTATGGAATGTATTTTAAAATTTTTCACAGACTGAAGGAAAAAGATTGTTTTTTAAGACTTCACATCATCTCAATCTCTCTATGCCCTGAGTAGATTTTTATGCAAATTTTTCTCACCTCACTTGGACATTAATTTGAACTTGAGAATAATAAGTATTTGCATTTCCCTGTTCTACATCACATTGTCCATCTTACATACATTTCCAGTCTATTTTTAATGAAAAGTACATTTATTTTATGATAATCAAGTATATGTATCTGGTCCCAGTGTGCTTATCAAACACTCTACTGTTGAGAAGTTTTGTTGCAGAGGGACAGGGAGATGCCAAGGCCACGCCCCTGACTGACTGACTGACTGCGTTTGTGTGGGGTGTTTTCGTTTTGTCACAGCTGAAACAGGATATCCTGGAGTGACTCCACACATACAGAAACTTCTTCAGAAGTGTTGCTTAGTGACAGAAGTAACAGGGCCACCGGCAGGATAACGCTCCGCCTCCCCGGTCCATCTCATTGATGGTGTTTGCATTGATGTGTCTCTATCTCTGAGCTGGCTCATGTTAATCGTGAATTAGCTGTAATGAATGAGTGAATCAGTTGATCTGTGGTGAAAAATGTTCTGGTTTGACTGACACCGAGGCATATCATCTATTGTCAATTTCCAAAGTCAGCATGAATTTTGAATTTTATCCTCATGATGTACATGTAGTTCAGGTTATAGGATGGCCTTTGTGACACATCACTTGTTCAGGTTACTTTTATTGTTCATTTGGTTAATAATCATAGTAACCAAAAACTGTGTTTATGACTGTGTTTTGTTGCAGAGACGAGGAGCTCATGAAGCACTTCTCTGATGAGCGAGACATCCTGGAGAGCCAGATTGAGATTCTGCAGTAAGTCAGACAGCATCACAGAGACTGACTGTTGTTGAGGGTTTCTACTAGAGATCTTACTGTTCTCAGGTAGCACTTTTATATTTTATATTTAAAAAGTAAAATAAATATATTGAAGAGAGATATTTTTCCGTGTGTGTGTATAGGATAGCCAACAGGAAGCTCCATGACAGCAACGATGGCCTGAGGACCGCTCTGGAGAGGATCACTAGGGTAAAGCTGCACCACTGTATCCAAAAATAATCAAAATAAAAACCAAGTTTAGTTTTAAAAATTTCAAGAGGCTGAAGTTATTACATGCATTGGGTTTGCTCAGTGCTCTGATGCATCTTTATATAAATATTCAGTTCACTTTTGGGTTATCTGACTGGATTTATTTATGTTGTTCTGAGTTGAGTTTCAATCTTTTTACAGTCTTTTTAGTTTGTTTTAAGACATTAATGTTGAATTGCAGTCTAATTCTCTGCAGTCTTGTATTTGATTAATTAGGTTTTTCTGCAGCTCTCCCTGCTGATTGTCTATTGCATGCATTTTTCATTTTTCACAGTAAGAAACAGAAATCAAACTTTATATTCTGATACCTATTTATATAATTTAACAGCTGTTAAGAAGTAACATTCAGAGTTTGTGTAGGCTATTTGTCAATTTCAGAAAAACACAAACCATGGAAAACAGATTGTGTATTGTTGTGTGTTACAGTCTGGTAACGGGGGGGTCACCAAGAGATATAAAGGACAGAAGCAGAAGTAAAAGCATCTGCTACACATCACCTTATGCATTAATGGATAGGTAAGAGCTACAAATAATGCAGATGGTGAATTTATAAATGTTCAAATATCACCATGCTTTCTGCACCAGTGTATGAGTGCTTCAGTATACACTATAGGCTATATGATGTTATCGTCTTATTCCTTAAGCATTTTTATTTTTCCTTTGGGGAACTCACAAGGGTAAAGGAGAGTTGTTATTGTTAAGTTGCATCAAGGACAGAAGTTAAACAGTAAGTTTAAGATGATTAACTGATTAGCAGCTTCAGGGTTTTTTATTTCAAACCAGGTTTATCAGGTTTGCATCTACAACACAAAAGGGATTTTGCTTAAGTACACTGACAAACAGGTTGTTTTTTTCTTAGAACCCACAACTGTGTACTTACACAGTAGTAGAGTAAATGTTGAATATGCTGTGAGATATTTATTTAAGGTGCTGTCCAAGGTGATGTGCTGAGAAGTTGAACCACATGATTGTGTGGTGTCTGGGGACAAAGGTGATTAATAAAAGAGGATATGCAGCAATCCACTTACTGCATATACAGTTTGACATCTTACTAAGAGGTGGGATGGTGATCATTTCTGTTTAAGTGAACACATAACAGCAATAAAGTATGTTAGCATAAGTATTACATGAGGCTATATCTTTTTTGCCGTTTACAAACATTTACAGGTATGCGTGTACACGCAGTGCACTGCCTTACCTTCAAAGCATGTAGGAAAAACAAGACAAAAGCATATAAATGTACACACACACAGCAAACTGTACTGTGTTGATGCAGACTACACACACTATATGATGGACACAGATCATTTATAGACTTTACAGACTTAAGAATTGCTCAGAGGCAAATCTAATATAAACAAATTACACTTTAATAAAAACAGATATTGAAAGCAATAGTTTTTGATTTAGTCAAACAGATAGTGGTACACTGTATCAGTATTTTGATAAGTTCATTAGGATTAGTATTTAAGTATAACTGTGGGTTGGTTCACCTATATAACAAACAAATATTTTTCTTACTTACACCTCGTGTTATCTAGCCATACAAATGTGTAATGTTTGTTTTATTAATTTAGAGGCATTTTAGTCTTTATTAAACAGCATGCAGGGAGGAGTCAGGTGTGAAGTGTGGGTAGAGAAGTGGGAGTGATAAACAGCAAAGGTTCCTGGCTGAATTTGAAGTAAGGATAGGATTGTAATTTGGTTGAATCGACCCTTGTGCTTTACATCACGGATTATTTCCTGACTGCCTCCTCAGGTTCTGCCAGCATATGGAGGATAACCCTCTGTACAGGCGCCGGCTCAGCTCTGACACTCTGGCCTTGGCCATGTGCGACCCAGGCCTGAGGTGCAGACACAGCAGTGAGTGCGAAGAGGACAGCCTGCCTGAGATCTACATGGACAGCGGCCTGTCGACACTCAGAGGCTCACATGGAGGCTACGACTCGGAGCAGGAGGCCAAAGGTCAAGAAAAAGAGGAAGAGAGGAAGGGGGAGAAAGAAGAGGATGACAATAATGACATCATGATGGAAGAAAACTCTGACACTGAGGTGAAATGATAAGAAAGTGAAGCACAAGTTTACAGTACATGCCCATCTATACTGTAGAAATGCAATATGTCCTTCAACACGACTAAGAGTTTTCAGTCATGTTAGCGGCTCTTTGAGGCTGTACAGTGTTTACTGTAATGTCACCATGGCAACATGCTCACAAAAATAATGCACACATACCAATGTTTAGAAAGGATCATGTTTGCCTTGTCCACAATCTTAGGGTAACGTTTTAGCATGCTAATATTTGCTATGTAGCACTAAACACAAAGTGCAGCTGAGGCTGATAGGAGTGTCATTAGATTTGCAGGTATTTGGTCAAAAACCAAGGCAATTTGATATATTGTAATGATGGTGGCACAACAGACTACCATATGTAGACTGTTTCATGCAGGTGAACAGGTTTTTAGATGGTGAAGAGAGTCAAACAATAGCTTCTTTGGTTGGCGATCTGTGAGTCTGTCTAAGTTGTGGAGTGATGGGAAGTGAAGTTTAATCAATAAATGTTAAAGAATATCATAGAAGTAAAGCATTTGGTTTAGGTATGAGGTTAAGGAGTGATTTTGAAAAGCTTTTTGCAATTTGCTAAAAGTAAAATGCTGTGATGTCAGCTGAAAATATAACCTGAGATTCATGTAGCAACAACCTGTGTTAGGCTGTGCTGTCTAGATTCAGGAGCAGACACGGAGGCACAGTTAGAAACAGGTATGGCAGAGACTGGTTGGAAAGCCGGGGTTTAATGCCGTGTTCCAAACCGGGCGAAACTGGGAAATTTCCAAGTTGAAATATCCGACTTCAGTGCCTTCAGTTGCATGGTGATGCATGAAGCTAAATGTAAACAATAAACATGTCTGACTGTGACAAACTTTCATTGGCCAGTTTATTGCCGCGTTCCAGACTGTTCGGAACTGAAAAATGTTGAAATCTCCGACTTCCAACCACAGAGACTGACCATGACAAACTCTTTGTCAAGTGTACACCCAGCTGCACCCTCTGTCCTTGGTGTTCATTAAAATTAGGGACATTTTAATGAAAACAATGAACTGAAGTGTAATCCTCAAAAGACAATAAACGTTGTAGATTAGCCCATACTTTGTAAAGTTTTCAAATGTTTTGGCATTTTTACCATTTTCCTGAATAACTTTTGAGTAGAGAAGATGACTTTCAGAGATCAGAGATTGATTCAGAGCTACAAAATATTTCTATATCAATTTACATGCAGAAGAAGTATTACTATTTGATAATAGTATGTATTATTTTAATTTAGTACTTTACTTGCCTTTTCGTTTATGGTTTACCATTTACAATGTGTGCTTCCATGGGACTTGCTATTGTTGTGTGATGTCATTCGCCTGCTACTGGTAAAGTCGGGGTACATATGCCGCATTCGAGACCGGTCGGAACTGGGATTTTTCCCACTTGAAACTTATGACTTCCGACCTCAAAGCGTTCCAGATGCATGGTGGTGCAAGACGCCGAAAGTGAACGAAAACCATGGCTGACCGTGACAAAGTGTGCACACAGTTGCACCCTCAGCAGTGTTTTAGGTGTTACTTCAAAGGATGGCAGTTTAACTGCAACAACTGACATAAATAGCCCATACGTTACTAGTTAACTGTGTACCCCTCTAGCTACATCAGTTGGTAACCCTCAAGTCAGTCAATGTTGTAGGTTACACTTCCTAATGTTTTGGAAACTTTTATGCAAGATGACTTTATGAGAATCTTTACTGTAGCCAGCTACAGAATGACTGTTTTGTGACGTCATTCAGCTGCTACTCGTGAAGTCAAGGTACATATTTTTTCTCCGAGTTCACAAGTAGGAAATCCGACTTCAAGTGGCGTTCCAGGATAGTTTTTCTAGTTGGAGATCAGAAATTTCCGAGTTCCAAGTTGCCTGTAACGCAGCATAAGACAGGAGAGGTGATTGCAGAATCTGTTTAAGGTGAGTAGGAAGCCACAGGTTTCTTGATGAGGACAGAGAGAACCAGTAGCGCCACACTCACACAAAACACAGGACAGACAGATGACAAAACAATTACACAAGGGTGAGAGAAAACAGACAGAACACACTAGGACTGGGGAGGCAGAAAGCCAAATCATGACAACCTGCTCATGGTTACTGCTAATGTGCAGGGTGTAATGTGAATAAAGTCCTCGTGATAACATGATTTCTGTGTAGATCATTGTGTCAGTGTTACGATGTCTGCTACTGTGTGATTACAGCCAGCAGAGACACAGGACGGTGAATCAGCATTCGGGTCAGACAGCAGCTCAGTTTTGGACTGGAAGCCGGCTGAATTCATTAGTGTGGCCAAACCCCCAAACACACGAAAAGCCCTCAGTGCCATCAGTGTTCGGGTAAGAGAGAGACGGAAGATACGAGAGAGGGGAGGTTACCTTAAAGATAGGAGGGAGGGATGTGTCCTGCCACCAAAAGCTGACTGAGAAAGGGAGATGGAAAGATAGGTGGAGGAAGAACCTTCATGGATTGACTTTCAGACCTTTTTGTTTAAGACTACCAGCATATAAAACTTTCCAACATGTATTTTGAAAATAAATGGCCAGATTCTCATAGTATGTGCTGAAAATATTCAAGAGGATGAATATTAATCCCAATCAACAGTGAGCTGGAAATATATTTTGGGATTTTGGGACTATCACAAAATCAAGGTGTAGATTTTAATGATCACGTTGGCTTTTTGTCTAGCACCTTCTTCAAAACAAACCTTAGCTCCACCACTTGTTTGGCACCAAGCTTTGCAAACTTTTGCTTTGCAATGAGACATAAATCCCTCATCTCCATTTCTCAACAGAGCTGATGATGGACAGAGGAACTTATAAGAATTTATTATTTAAAATGAAGTGAATATGCCGAATGCATATACAGTCAGCTTATGAGTGCTGCATGAGTGCCTTATCTTTACTCTGTGCCCCCTCCAGACGGAAGACAAGGACAGCGCTGACCTGGGCTATATGACATCAGAGAAGGCCTACAGGATCGTGTTGGCAGGAGATGCTGCTGTGGGAAAATCCAGCTTCCTGCTTCGCCTCTGCAAGAACGAATTCAAATTAAACTCCAGCGCTACACTGGGTGAGTGGGGGAAAACTGAAGCCAACTCTTTGTCGCTATTTAGTTAACATAACAATGTTAATGATTAGTTTGGTCACCTGATATTCTATTAATCTGATCAGGTTCTGCCACCGAGTTGTATCAAGTCTGCGACTACTTAACAATGTCATGCAAAATGTGTCTTTCCTTTTTTTTTTACCAGCTTTGTGGTGTGACATGTTGGTTGTGTCTCTTTTGTGTGTTCAGGAGTGGATTTCCAGATGAAGACGCTAATTGTGGATGGAGAACCAGTTTTACTACAACTTTGGGACACTGCAGGGCAAGAGAGGTGTGTGTTGGTGTGAATTTATTAGATTGAGATGTAAAAAGATTGAGTGAGCTGAACTTTTCAACGGTGTCATTGCAAACCTATGTATGTAGATTCAAACTATTAATTTATAGATAGTTAATGTAAATAAAGCTTGTTATTACGTGTGTGTGGGGTGCCTAAAAATTAAAATGAACATGCACACATGACACTGCGTTGGCAAACATACTGTATTTATCCTATCACAACAAATAATTATTTACCATGTTTAATTGTTGGAGAAAATAAACATCTTATGTATTTGTGTGTGTCTTTAACCCATTTTCTCATCTAAGGTTTCGCAGCATTGCAAAGTCTTATTTCCGGCGGGCGGACGGTGTGTTGCTGCTGTACGACGTCACCTGTGAGAGGAGCTTCCTTAACGTTAGAGAGTGGGTGGACATGATTGAGGTAAAGCGCTACTCTCCTTTTCTAAAAAGTTGCTACCTGACACTGTTTGTATTACGGTTGTTAGCAAAAAAAGTTCCAGACTTCAGCAGACTATAGCGACGCTGTAATCCATCTGCTTTTCTTTTGTGGACATTTGTACTGGCAGCATTTGTGTAATTATGAGTAAATAAAGACTAAACCTTATCACATGTTCATTTCTTTCTTTTTACATGCAGCAGATATGTAAGTGTTGGGTGTGCAGTGATTGGATTGTGTTTTGCTGTTAAACTGTAGGCATGTTGACATTTCTGTGACTTTTTATCAATGCACGCAGTAGGTGGCTTATAACATCCTGTCACACATTGTCTGATATGATGTACTATGTACACCAGTGGTGGAAAGTATATTTACTCAAGCTGTACTTGTGCTTCACTTGAGTATTTCCATTTTATGCTACTTTCTACTTCTACTCCACTATATTATCATAAATATTATACTTTTTACTCTACATTTATTTGTTTTACTTATTTTCATGACAAGTCAACTAATGCATTATGTTGTTATTATAAATTAAACTATGCAGCGGTATATAAAGGCATTAAAATTGGCTCTACCTTCATGTACAAGTTAATCAATCAAACATAATTCAGTAACATAATATATGTTATATATATGCCTTTCTGTATAATGAGTACTTTTACTCTTGGTACTTTAAGTATATTTTGTCCTTTCCAAAAGTACTGTAATTAACTGCAAGCATTTGAATTCAAGACTTTTACTTGTAACAGAATATGTTTACACTGTGGTATTGCTGCTTTTACTTACTACACATTGTGTCACTTAATATCAAATAGTTTTAGTCTAGTTCAGTTTGTATCTCATTTTTTATTTCATTTAGCACATAAAATCTGTAATCACCATGCTGTAAAGTATGAAAAACTTCTGTAACCCGCTCCTCATCTCTGCTTGAGGCTAGCATGTGCTTGAGTTGATGCCGACAATGTTATAGCAGTACAATTTTGAGGCTTGTACTTTACTTGATTTTATTTTTACTATTTTAAACTTGTGCTACTTTTAGCATTTAGTTTTCATTTTAACTGTGGGGGTTTTACCTTTTGTCTTTTTTTTTTCTTCTTTTTTTTTGCATAGCAGGATGTGTCCCAGGAGGATATTCCTATCATGCTCGTGGGTAATAAGTGTGATCTTAGACAAGATGGAGTTAACTGTGTTCCTACCAGCTATGGAGAAAAACTAGCCATGGTAATGACAAATAAACACCCACTAATTCACCTGCTACATGCCTACACCAAACTCTTACCCTAGTTGACTTGCAGTCAACAGAAAATTCTGATTAAGGATGAATGATTTCCTGTCTTCACCCAACAGACATACAACACTCTGTTCTGTGAAACTAGTGCAAAAGACGGCTCCAACACCCTGGAGGCTGTGCTGCATCTGGCCAGGTGAGATGCAACTTTTTCATTCCGCCGAATGTACAAAACAAAAACACAATTTTTTATTTTTAGAAACAAGTGTAATTTTGAGTATATTCCCAAGCCAAATTATCTTCATGAGTCACACTCTGAAAACACTGAACTCTGTTATAAAGATTGACCTCACAGGAGACATTTCAGTTGTCAAACACAGGTATAGTTAATAAATAATTATTGGATATATTCCATTAAGTTTTTTAGCTGTTCTAGGACGCAAGTGTTGTATCTGCAGGCTAATTGGCATGGCTTAGTGGGACACTAAAATCGAACATTAGTTACAGTTAGGACATTTTCCTCCCGTAACAAGTTAAAATGTCTGCCAAGAGAATGGTCTAATAATAGTGCCAAAAATGTAAAGATTAAAAAATAATCTTTTTTTTTAATTATGTAATTCCAAAAAAAATCTGGATTCCATACATACAGTATGAACAGCAAATACATGTATGGCAAGCTCTTAATTGTGATCTTTGCTGCCCTCTGGTGTGTAAAAGTAAGACCAAAACGGTTACTGCAACGGAAAACAACAAGGGTCAAACAAATGAGTTGAATGCATTTCTTTCCTCATTAAAATAGTGGCGTGTTGCAACTACCTGATGAGTAGAATAGTGTTAAAACATTGGCAGGACTGTGTATTGCATGAGATAAACAAAACCCACTCATGGAAAAACTGCTCCATACACTAGAAGTACAAAAAAATATATATATATAACTCCACAGGAAACCTTTAAATGGGTCTCAAAATGCAAGTGTTTGTTCATGGGGAGTTATAAGAGGCACTTACATGACATCACAACCAAAAACAACAGAAAAGAAACAGAAAACTGCAGCTTCTGCCCTGATGAAGCCTGTTAGCTGTAATGAAATTGATTGATCCACAAGGACAAGTAAAAATGTTTTAGTGTGAGTTTTCCCTGAATTTCTTGTTCCAGCTCTTGTTCTTTTCTTTCCTCTCCACAGGCAGGTAACAAAACAGGCGACTTTTGATAAAAAAGTCACCATCTGTCGCTGCCCAATTTAGATGCTCCCAGGAAAAAGCCAAACTTCTCCTGCTGCAACTGATCAAATTCATCAGAGCCTGACCTCCACATTTGACATAATGTGATAATGTAATGGGAAACCACAAATGCAGAAACCTGGCAAAACAAACAGGAAATTAGACCCAATCTCTGCAGAAGTACAGCAACAGGAACAAATCATCATTGTGAACAACCAAAACAATTTAACATATGGATTAAGTGAGCATACAAGTGACACAGGATTACAGCCGAATGTCCACAACTTCACATGAGCTCAGATTTCTTTTGTACTTCCAGGTTATTTAAATGTGATGTATAGAGCTTCATTTCAACCACAGCTTAAAGTCTTACTCTTCCGTATTTTATGAATTTGAGAATGTCTGTGTTAAGCTTGGCATGTGAAAGTTATGTCCATTTTTTTTAGTATGCTATTACACATATTTGTATAAATTCCTTCCACATATTTTATATTATTTGTACAATTTGCCCTTACTGACTGTGAAACAGCTGTGAAAGTGAAGTAAAAAGAGTGAGAAGGATTTGAAAGTGAAGCCGAGTATATGAGCATGTTTTTAAAGTGACATTAGTATGTGACACTGACAAATAATTGCATGTGATAGATGTGAGGTGATAATTATTTTAGAGAGCATTGTTATGGTGAGAAAATAAGACAAATAAGAATAGATTCTTGTGTGGTTATGCTATTAACTGTGGCAGTTATCTAATTACTCCTGAGCTCAGTTATCATCCTTTGAAATGACATCTGCAGCACGTTGAATGGAAACAGAAGTTTTTGCTCCACCCAGATCGTAAAACTTTATTGTAAGTGAACTGAATTGTGTGTCGACATGGAGACATTGAGAATTATGGGAGAATTTAAAGCAAAAAATGTTCAATCTCGTCTATGTTTATATACAATGCACCTCGGTGCAATGTGTGATTGTGTGAGACTTTATGCTAATGCCATTCACAACCCACTATCTTTATTATATTACCCCACAGTGTTACATTTATTTTCATTGTACTTCCCACTGAGGATAACTGTGTTATAGAATTTATATTTTTTGGAACTGAACATATAGCAGTTGATTTTAATTCACTTTAAGATGCTTTAAGCAACTACTGTCATGTTATTATCTGGTAGGAGTAATAAAAATTAGGTAAGCATAAAAGAGAGGTGGCAGGAAGCAGAGCCCTTATTTTTAGTCCTTGTATACAGTACACAACTGTAATTCTGTTTCAATTTGTGCCAGTGATCTTGGCAGATTGTCACTACTGATGGTACTGAGAGTATGTGATTATTATTTCTTAATAATAACACCAAATTATCCATATTATCTGCCTGCTGAAGGGCAGTGAATAAAGGTGTCCATGTGCTTCAAATGAAATGCTTGGTAGATTCTCAAACCCCTCCAAAACCTTTACCAAGTTGGAATTGGGGACTTTGCCTGTCATTTAATAAACAATAACAATAAAAGCTTGATAACCACCAGTTACTTGTTGCATAAAGATCTTAATGTAATGTCATAAGAGTTGCTACAGTGAAGTCACTGCCTTTGCAACTAAGGTGTCTGTGTTAAAATTCAATTTAAATGAATGTCTCAACATCACAAGACTGGAATCATCCAGATAAAACATTCAATCTTTAGTTGGAGATTTGTTCACAATACTTGATACAAACATTTGTCACAGTCCATGAGTGACCGTAGTTTGACCACATGGAGAAAATACTTACTTAGACAGCTCAGAAAGGTTGTCCTTAAAGATAGTGCAGTACTTTTTGAAATTTTAACTACATTTCTTATCATCATCAAAATGTACTTACAGGGTAAAGGTTAGGGTTCCTTTCAATGTGTTAGATTATGTAATGTGTATTATATTGTGGGAATATTATTCCAACACCTGGGCTATATAACTTTACAGGCTGTCATACGTTATTTTTTTCTGTAACAACTTTATGTTTAGCGACAATTTTAGAATTTTTCCTGATCACTCCTTGTAAGCAGTTTACTAATTTTGAAGTAGGTCATCTGTTGCATGTTGCATTGCTTGTAACCAGTCTGTCATCACCATGAAATCTGATGGAGGACAAAACCTGAGTGTAGCATCGAGTGGTCAAGCAAGAAGTATAGTATTACACATTTAGACAAGTGTAAAGTAGCACAAGATTAAAATAGTGAAAATAAAATCAAGTAAAGTACTCAAAACAGTCCTCCATAGATTTAGCCTTGTACTACTATAACATTGTCGGCATCAACTCAAGCACACGCTAGCCTCAAGCAGAGATGAGGAGCGGGACAGAAGTTTTTCATACTTTACAGCATGGTGATTACAGATTTTATGTGCTAAATGAAATAAAAAATGAGATACAAACTGAACTAGACTAAAACTATTTGATATTAAGTGACACAGTGTGTAGTAAGTAAAAGCAGCAATACCACAGTGTAAACATATTCTGTTTAAGTAAAATTCTTGAATTCAAATGCTTGCAGTTTATTACAGTTTACAGTTACACTTTTGGAAAGGACAAAATATACTTAAAGTACCAAGAGTAAAAGTACTCATTATACAGAAAGGCATATGTATGACATATATTATGTTACTGGATTATGTTTTTCATTTTCAAACTTGTAGTCTTCAGCCGACAGACATTTATCAGATCTCACGCAGCTCCCTTTGAAGCCACAAATGGCTTTAAACAACCTTTTTCACATATGCAGTAGTACTCCTCAACACCTGTAAACCGACTCAGATGTGGAGAATTAGTGTTGTTCCCATTTAAGTACATTATATTTAGTAAATGTACTAATTACTTACAACCATCGCAGTATCTACCTGTCTGTCTGTCTGCTGCTCACACTCAAGCAACCGGCATCCCCAATATAAAGACACAAAGGACAAGACAAATCAATAAATCAGATAATTTCTCCTTGGTTGCTGCTCTAAAAGACCCTCCTGTCAGCTATACTCCCGGAGCGTCTGCAAGTAGCTGTTTGAATAACTGCAACATATGTTAGGGATTTTGCACTTGGCGTGCATGTGTGGGGGTGGGGGGTTTAGAGCTGGCACGGGTCCCTGTCTCCACCTCCCATCTGTTTACATTGTCATCTGCTTGATGAGGCGAGACCACTCATTTGTCAAACAACATGTGGGGTAGCTGAGGTGGGGACGGGGTGTATGGGGAGTAGCTGCTGAGAATTGTGTGTGTGTGTGTGTGTGTGTGTGTGTGTGTGTGTGTGTGTGTGTGTGTGTGTGTGTGTGTGTGTGTTCTGTGGCAACGGGGATAATTAGATAAGGGGACTGTGTAGCAGAAAGGTTAATGACAGTAATGAATGTATTAGTGTAGAGGAGAGAGAGCAGGTTCTCTTTGCTGTTTTGCATCTGCAGGTTCAGAAAATGTATAACACCACAAAACCTAAAAAAGTCCCACAAATTATTTTGTGCAGTTTTGTGAAAATGAACAATTCTATCCAAAAGCCCAGAGGAAAAACATATGGTTAAGTCTCATATAATATATCTGAAGATACTTCATGCAGGAAGAGATATAAACACGGTCACACAGTGAAGCTAATTCATCAATCATGTTTTCTGGAAATGAACATTTTTCTGTTTCTGTTAAAGTTTTATGTTCAAAGTTAAAATTAGTTTTGGTATTAAAATATTTCAAAGAAGCAGCCATTACTCTGCTCATTTACTGTTGTGAAATCTCAGGTATTGACCTCTGCTTTAAGTTTATATTTACATAAAGTGAATAAAGTTATTTGTGCATCACAAGAAGCAAAGTTTTATCCTGGATTTACTGTAGAATTACTGTAGAAAAGTTCTGCTTCCTGATTAATGCAGTTAATGCACACAGTTCCATTACTATATATATTTTTATTTGGCATCAGCTCCAATCAGGTATCATTCTGAAGCTTTAATGTTTTATGCTCATGTAATTTGAACTATGTAGTGAAGAAGATCTGTATTCTGTATCAGCTGGAGTCATGACAAAAATCCTCCTTCGCCCTGCATTTCACGTTCCAAGATTTTCCCCCAAACAACTGAAATGTTGAAGTCAGATTAGAGCTTAAATTAATTTAAACCCTTGTAGCACATCCTTCAAACCTCATCAGTCAGTCTTTCAAACTTTTACACACACACGCACAGACTGTGTTCCTGGGAGGAGTCGCTGATGGAGGGAGCCATCTGGAAAGGTCAGAGGTCAGAAAACGGTACCACTGGTCACTCTGACGACATCTGGGACAGCAGGCTGTCTGTCCAAATCCACCTCCATGTCAGCCACACACATCACAACCACCCATTACACACACACACGGTCTGGTGCACCCGATTGTTGTCTGCCATTTTGTTTGTCATGTCACGTGTGTGTGTGTGTGTGTGTGTGTGTGTGTGTGTCTTTTGATCTTTGAAACCATACTTTTTTTTTTCACCACAGCTTTATTAAAAAGTCTTCTAATAAAATAACTGGATGTTTACAGTTCATGTACAAGCAGGTCTTGGTTAACAACACTGTGTGCTATGCCTCATCTGTAGGCAAGAGGGCAGCAGCCTGCTACAGTGCAGGAGTGGCTTGTTGAACCGTGTGTTGTGATGTGGCTTTAAAGCTTTAAATAGTATTTCATGTTATGTCACAACACACATGCATTAAAGGTCTGTTGATGTTAGAATTTCTATATAATTTATGTAGAAGATATTTGATTGTTCAAATTTTGTTGTGACATTGATAAGTTAAAGTTTGAAGTTACTGCATGTTAAGCGCATGAAATTTAATGGAAAGTAACTCCTATTAATCCACATTATTAGCTTACTATACCATACAGAGGCAAATAAATGATGGCTTGAACATTAGATTACAGAAATAAAATTCTTGATGTCTGAGTTGGTAATGATGAACTTGCCAAAGAGTGTGTGGATGTATCCAGAAGCAGCAGCAAATAGTGAAATTAGAAAAAGTGATCAGGTTTGCAGGTTTGGAGCAGAAAAAAAATTACACTTTTCTGGGTGTTTGAATACCAGCATCACATTTTATTTTTGTTTAAACACATGCTATGTTATGTAATGTTGCCACAAGAGTTCTATATTTTCAGTAGAAATGTAGCTTAAGAGACAGATAGGCCACACTTCCCTGTGCTCACACCTCTAAGACCGTTATAAAACAGGAAATCAATGATGGGAAACATGTTTATTCTAGTGACAGAAGAGATGCTGCGTTCTTTTTATCTCAGTGACCGCTCTGTTGGCTCTGCAGAAGGACGGGTGGGATTAGTGGCCGTTTTATAATGTGTGTTAATCTGACAGATTAGCTTGATTAGGTTAATCTGAGAACATTTGTGTGTGTGTGTGTGTGTGTGTGTGTGTGTGTGTGTGTGTGTGTGTGTGTGTGTGTGTGCGTGTATGTGTGTGCGTGTGTGTGTGTGTGTCTATTTCTACAACTTGGCTCCACTGTAGTCCCATTCAAAAACCACATGCAGTCTATTCACTGTCTTTGCTGGTAAGATTCAAAGTCAAAATGATAGTATCTGACCAGCTGATGGCGGGGGTTGGCAGTCTGTATTCTTCACAGCATCTAAACAGTGTTTTGTTGATATTGTTGTTATTTCTTGTCAATAACCTCAAGCTGCAATTGATCTCTGCAGAGTCCCTCTCTATAAACTGAATCCCCTTTGGAGACCAGTCATTCATATTCCTGTCTTACGCTGTGAGCCCACTGCAATTTAAGGACATGACATTTTAACCGCTAAAAATCTGTTTCTGTGTGGTTTATCTGAGTCAAAGCATAAAAAACAGATTGTGTGCGTTTATATTCATCTATCAAATCCACTCGCAGCCCATTGACATATGCATGTGCGTGAAACACCCGTGAAACACCGCAGCAGGCACCCGCTGGCATAATGACCCTCCCAGCCCACACAACAATATAGAGATCTCGTCTAGAAACTGTATTGACATATTGACCAAACTCGTCACACCCGAGAACAGCTGATATCGACGTGTTGTTCACGTAGGAATGTCACTTAGATTTTGGTTTAGGGAGCTGACATGTAGTTCATATCAGATACTATTACATTGATAAAGATAAACGTAAGTAGAGCTGCAGCTTTGTTTTATTTTTGTCTTATTGCTTACATAACCAACAATGTATGTGTGGGTGCACTATCAAACTTCTCTTCCCTTTCTCCCACACTCAGACCCGAGCGCATTCACTACTGAACACGTAAATCAAATACAAAGTATTTTTATTTCCCTGTCGTTTCCTTGATTAAAAGCTGGGCACTGTAGTTTATAGCAAATATTTCGAAAACACTACTTTCAGCTGTGTGAGTCTGTATGGTGTGTGTGCATGTGTGGGATATATGCAAAATAAGATACTGTGTCCATGTTCATAGTAATGAAGAACATGTCACCCAAGGCAACAATGTACTCATTGATGTGTTTTCATATTTGGACAACAAGGAGGTGTTTTCATGGGATTTG